GCCCACAGCCCCGCCCCCGCCAGCGCCGCCTCCCCCACCACGGCGTCGCCCCTCCTCGCGCCTAAGGTAAGCACAACAGGAAACCGCTGCATCTGTTTCGTTTTGTACTAATTATTAATTTCGATTCTGTACTGTAATAAACTAATTTCAATAAAATACTAATTAATATTACTAATTTGCAATGGGAAATGTAATTTTTTCTATGATCCTACGAAAATTTATTTTATGAATCGTTATAAATTTTTTCTATCGTTATTTCATCGCCCAAAAATATGTTTTCGCACTAAAATGGCGAGAGATGATGGTGCTTTGATTCGAACCATGAACAGCAAACATGAAACAAATAATAATTCTTGATAGGAGCATTTTTATATGATCATAAGAAAAATGTAGTGTATATTTCGTTATTACATTTTCTTGTCCATCTCAATTAGTTTTTTGCCTCGATCTATCGGGTAACTCAGTCTTGATCGTGCAAAAATCAATTTCGCGCACGGTATAAAAATATCTTTGAGTGCCCTCAGCCATCAGAGCTACAATTTCTGTACTGTTAATCGTCCGTAAATTTGTGATGGTTCGGAGTAGGCCAATAACACTTTTTACCGTTCTCTAAAATGTAGAGATCTCTTACTTGGTAATAAGTGCCGAGCCTGCTAACTCTCTCTTGTGATTAGTAAACATGACAACAATGGTTACTAGACCATCAATATATACATTTTGTATGGAAAGCCCATATGTGTGCGTCCGCAAAAGAAAGATTTTGAACTAACGTTATTACAATACAGATGTTGCTACTTTCAGGAGTGTACAAAAACAAACGACGCGCCTCGGCCGAAAAGTGAATGTATTTGGTTTGACCATGCGCAATCTCGCCCAAACATATTCACCTTTCCTCCTTGACACTTTAACTATTATATTGATTTTCTGATAGAAAACAATAGCATTTAAAGATTCTTACACTTGTCGCAATGTTAAAGTATTTCCTTCAGTTACAAGCTACTTCTTACTCATTTGATTCCCAGAAAAATGATATGTAAATAGAAAACGGTCATATTACTTTAATATTAAAGTTCATTTGAATTGCTCATTGAAAGAAATTACAAAGTAGATGTATCTTCTTCAATAAACTTTGAAACAGACTATTCTGATTGTGTTTTCATTACAACTAATTAGTGACATAAAGTTTACTTTGTGGTTGACCTTTCCGTGTGAGTACTTGCTCCCTTGCCACACAGGCGCTGACCAACGGGTGTCTGGGCGAGGATTCGGACCAGTCGGGCCCCGAGCAGAACACGTGGAACTCGCACGACTCGCAGTACTACCCCATTTGGACGAAGGGCCCCTCCCCGTCCGCGGCCGCCGCCTCCCCCGCGGCCGCCGCGCCCTCGGCGCCCGGCTCGGGCATCTACGAGACGCTGTACCCCACGTGCGCCAGCGGCAGCGGCGACAGCGCGGACCCTCCGCCGCCGCTGCCCCCGCGCACGGGCAAGCACCGGCCCCTGGAGCGCACGCGCGCGCTCGCCTACTGCACGGGCGCGCTGCCGCCGCCGGAGGTCAGTCCCCTCCCCTCCTGCCCAGGCTGGCCGGCTTGGTCCTACGGCTGGTCACGTGTGCCCAGACTGGTCAAGTTTGTCCAGACTGGTCGACTTTGTCCAGACTGGTCAAGTTTGTCCAGACATCGAATTTGTCCAGACTGGTCGACTTTGTCCAGACTGGTCGACTTTGTCCAGACTGGTCGACTTTGTCCAGAC